GATTTTTTTTTCCTTCTCTTCATGTTATTTATTTGAACAAAAGCTTTCTTTTAGGGAGTGCCTGAACAAAAGCTTCGAGCTCACTTAGGTTCTTTTGGTGTTACGGGAAATCTTGCACTTCAACCAATGTACACCTTGTCTGGTATGTTTGTTCTCTTCTGCATGCCTTCTTCTTATCATAAACTGTAGATCCAATTAGATCCTTCTGAACCAAAGCTTGACTTGGGTTTCAAAAGGAGTTTGATATTCTTTGGCTCCAGTCAAGCATGGGTATGCAATCAAGATGCAATTTATGTTTTAAACATGAAGCAATAATGGTAATAATGACTTGTGGATTGCTTGTGTCTGATGCTGATGCATTAACATTTTTTTTTTTTTTTGTGTGTGTAATTGCTTTTTATTGTTAGGTGGTCAGAAAAGCAGGGTTGCATTTGCAAAGATAACTTTCAAGAAACCACACATAATATTGCTTGATGAGCCATCCAACCATCTTGTAAGTCATTATCGTTCTCCTCCACTCTTTTCTGCCCATTTTTTTGTTGCTGTCAAACATGTTGGAAGGTGTTGAAATATGGGAAATGATAATTTGTTCATTTGTCCTACTGATTTTGTGTTGGAGAGTTGGGGTATGAAATATTCATTTAAGCTTTCAGTTTATTCATGTGGAAAGGACCATATACAAATGTGGTTATAAAGATAAAGCTTTTTGGTTACCTAGACATAGTATCATCTTTTCCTTTGTTTCATTATTTTGTTGATGAAAAACTGTAGCTGGGTAATAGGATTGTAGCGTTTCTGATTTTAATTCTGAATTAATACAATAACATCATAGCAACTTGTTGTAAAACACTGATATATGTCAACTTGCAGGATTTGGATGCGGTGGAGGCACTAATCCAAGGCCTTGTTTTGTTCCAAGGAGGGATTCTCATGGTATTGCGTGTGTTCAGTTGGACAATTACTTTTTGCTGATTTCATTTATCAAAATAAACGATTGAGTCAAGATAATATGATTTTCAATTCTCCAAACAAAAAAAAAAAGAGGAAAAAGAAATAAAACATTACTGGCATGTTTTTATACTACTTCTGGTCTTTCTTGCTTGCAGGTTAGTCATGATGAGCATTTGATTTCTGGAAGTGTTGATGAACTATGGGTGGTATCACAAGGAAAGGTGACACCTTTCCACGGGACTTTCCTGGATTATAAGAAGATACTCCAATCATCTTGAATATATTCTCTCTTGAGTTCTCAATTAGCCATGGTGCAGTAGGATGGATGGCATAGATTGATTGGCACAAATGACTCAGGTCCCTTGTAACTTTGGTTTTGATTCATGAACTAGAATGAAGAAGAAGAAGAAGAAAAGGCTTACTGAATACAGTGCGTTGTGCTTTTTGGAATGCCGCATCTAGACCACAACACTATAGTACCTTATTGCCGAGTACTTGAGATTACCTTGATATTGCGAATCGATACTGTCCTTATCTTGTGGAGAACCAGATGGGTTCTGTGAATTGAAGTTTTGTTAAACCTATACAATCTCATTTGCATGATTGGTAACTTGTCTAAGTGTTCTTTTCAATGAATTATATCACTAGGTATTTTTGCGTTTGCTTGTTCAATCCTCGAAGGCTTATTTACTTCTTTTAAATGTGGTATTGAAATGGATCCTCTACTATAAAGAGAAATGGTCCCCCCATGATGAAACTTAACCCACATTTGTTTACAGGTGAAAATGGTCCCCCCATGAGGAAACTTAACCAGGCGCGGTAGACCCTAGATTGGAGGAGGTCGACTAGGGATTTGATCTTATGGCCTTAGGGAAGGCCGTATGCTATTGCAGCACTTGAGTCCACTGTGTTTCATATTATAAAAAATATGAGAAACGATCGATTGTCCTTTATTTATATTTAAAAAATGTTATATTTAATTTCTTCACTTTCTTTCTTCCTTTTTAATAAATTATGATCATAGGGTATTTTAAAAATTCAAAAGAAATCAGCACCTCTTTTTTTAACAAAAATGATAAAATAACTAGCAGTCTGTTCTTAGACAATACCACTTGGCTAATAAAAAACAGGATTTGAACCATCGAAATTTGGGCGTCGTTCAAATAAGCTTCACCAAAGAACACACAATTTTCTTTTTCTTTTCTTTTTTTTATCTCGGGAGGTGTTTGATTAGAAGAGGTGGAAACTTGATAAAGAATTAAGAGGAAATATTTAAGAATTCTATTAAAATATTTAAGTAAATATTTTTTTAAAAGAAAAGTTAAGAGAATCTAAAATTAGATATGCAGCTCAAATGAAGATTAAAAAACTTTTTTTTAAAAGAATTTTATGAGTCTTTATAACCCATCATTCTTATTTTTCAGCCAATAAACTCACTCAAAAGTTTTTTTTTTATAGACTGAAAACATTTCTTGTGTCAAAAAAAAATCTTGATTGTTAATTAAAATTAATACCCTTTGTGTAATTTTTATAAATTATTTAGTTTAACTTTAATATTTTAATTGATTGTCTGGATTGTTTACATAATTTTGTAATGCTTCAAAAAATAGCTTTGACTTTTTTTCATTTCAAATTTTACATAGATAAGTTGTATTTGCATATTTTATTTATAACTATGAAAATTATATGTAATTAATAAGTAGAATTAGCCTCAACGATATAAGTATAAAGTAAAAAGGATAGGTAATATAAAACATTTACATAAGCATCTTTTTTTTTATAGAGAAAATTAGTTTTCTCTTTGATTCTTAATAATTAATAATGACTCTTATTCATCAATTCTTATACTTTTCAATCAATTTTATCAAAAAAAAAATATTTTTTAATTAAATATTTTTTATTTTTCAATGACAATATTTATAATTTCAAAAAATAAGTAAATATTATTATTTTCCTTTTCTTATTCATTAAGTTCTTTTTAATATTCTATTTTCAGTGTACCATGAGTTTATTGTATTGTTATAAAATTATAACATAGTTTGATAAAAGTTTTGGAAAAGTAACACAAAGTTAGAAAAGTATTAGGGAGACAACACATTTTAAACACATTTACTATTGAGAATAACATTTATTTTAAAAATCATGTCTCCCTCGATTTAATTAATATATATAAAAAATAAAACTAATTTTTTATGGAGATCCAATAACCAAAAAATAAAATTCAAAATTCAATGATTAAAAAATAATAGATCACCATAAATACATTGGAACTTCATTTTTAATACTCAGTATCGTTAAAAAATTCTTGATAAGACTATTCTAAACACACCTAAAAATACCATCAAATACGATTGTAACTTATTAGGAGTTTTGTTCGAAGTTAATTTAGGGTTAATTACAATCTCATTTGATATTTTTTTCAAGATATAATTAAAATTGTCTTATCAAGATTTTAATAATGATATTTATTATGTAAAGAACGGAGCCTCAATGTTTTCCTAATGACCCTTTTTTTTTGCTTTTTGCTTTTTTTTTTTTAATTTCTTTCTCCTACTAGATCACCTTATCTTCCTTTTCTTTCTTGTCATGAGATCTTAAATTACATTTTTGAACTATTGGATCTTCATAAAACTTTAGATTGATTTTTGTCTAGGTTAATTAATTTGCAAAGTAACATGTCTTACAAAATGACTAAAGAACTATTTGAAATAATGGTTATATACAAAAATATATTATGAAGTGTTACCCTTAGTTTAAGAGCATGTTTGGGAACACGGTGCAAATTTTTTTTGCTTCAAATATTTTTTTTTGTATTTCATATAGTTTTGATACATCGACGTCAAAAATAATTTTTTAAAAATAAAAAAACTTTATTTTAATGCATTCCTAAGCAAAAAGATATTTTAAACTACTACTACCATCACAATCTCAAACATGCCTTAAATAACGCTTGTATACAAAAATAATTTTTCAAGCACAATTTTATTTTTAATAATCAATAATGAGTTATTTATCGATTCTTATACTTTTTAATCAATTTTATTAAATGAATTTTATTTTTTACCAAACATTTTTTATTTTTTAATGGAAAAAATTTTTAATTTCAAAAAATAAGTAAATATTATTATTTTCTTTTCTTAGTCATTAAATTCTTTTAATATTCTATCTTAGTACCATGAGTTTATTGTATTGTTATAAAGTATTTAAGAATTATAACATAGTCTGATAAAAAGTTTTGAAAAAGTAACACGGGTTAGAAAAGTATTAGGGAGGTAATATAGTTTGAATTTTAAAAATCATGTCTCTCTCAATTTAATTAATATATATAAGAAGTTAAACCCAAAATTTTATAAAAGATTCAGTGAATAAAAATAAGATTTAAAATTCAATGAAAATAAAAAAGGTTATTAGGAACACATTGAAACTTTATTTTTAAAATACTTAGCACCATTAAAAAGATATTGACAAAACTATTTTAAACACACATAAAAAAACCACCAAATACAATTGTAACTTATTAAAGGTTTTGTTTAAGGTTACTTTAGAATTAATTACAATCTCATTTGATATTCTTCCAAGATATAATTAAAATTATCTTGTTAAAATCTTTTTAACTGTACCTAAAAAATGAAGTCTTAATGTTTTTCTAACTATCATTTTTTTTTACCATATCACCTTATCTTTTCTATTATTACTATTATTGGATCTTGAATTATATTTTTTAACCATTAAATCTTTATAAAATTTTAGGTTGATTTTTTGTTTAGGTTAATTAATTTACAAAAGTAACATATGACTAAATAACTATTTGAAATAGTGGCTATATACAAAATTATATCACGTAACGCCACCCTTATTCTAAATAACGCTTGTGTAAAAAAATGATTTTTCAAACACAATTATGTTAAAACTTTGTAATTTTCCAAATAATATTTTCAATCTACAGTATTGTCCCAAAACTTTTAGGTATATTTCAAAAAAATCCATTGTTATGGCCAAAACTCATCCTATCCCAGTAATTACAGATAAGATCAATGATTAGTATCTTAATTAAATACCCCCACGAAACTCCAAATTAAAGCAACCCTTTACACCCCGCCAAATCCGCGCTCCTCAATTTCTCAATTAGGGTTCAAAAATCTCTCCCAATACCCCTTCGATCGACAATGGAGAACAGCAACGATAACATCAACACCGCCATCACCACAAACACCAACAGCAGCATTGTATCGGTGGAGAATTTGAATAATGTAGTTAATTGGGTCGGCGCCACTGTGATCTCCGCCTTCTTTTCTTCTCTTGAGCGCTTCTCTTGCGTCAATGTTGCCACCATGGATCCTGATGACGATGACGATGAGGCACAAGATCGTCCTCTCGCTCTCTCTACTAATCAGCACCTCCAACACAACGACGTTGCTAATCTCCCTGTTTGATCATTGGAACGGTATCTTCTCCAGCATCGCGTTAAAAAAGAAAAAGAAAAAGAAATCAAGATTTGATTTTTATTGCTGGGGACCTTTCTTTCTTTTCTTGTCAGGGTTTTATGAAAACACAAAATTGTGATAACGTTTGATTAATTCCTATTGTATTCATTCTGTTTCTGTGAATTGAATGAGTGTACTTTATTTCTATTTTTTTGTTCTGTTGATTGAAATTTTGTAGGGTTTTTGTGTTAATTGTTTACACTTTATGGAAATGCTTCCTGCTCTCGTCGACCCAAGGACGGGCATGAGAAAAATAATTGATATGTTTTCATATAGGATGATGCGTAGAAGAAATCGATATACGGTGGGTAAGTTAATGCTTTTGCTGAGAGGTATGAGCTATCTCAGTGCTTTCATTACTGTCTGGGTGTTCGTAGTCTTATGTTCATTGACAAAATTTAACCGAATTCTACAATAATAACATCATAATGGAAGATCGTTAGTGATTTGAAATCTCATGAGAGCAAAATTGAAAGAATGTGTGTAAATTTCATGGACATAAGCTCGCAGCAGCATGTTAGCTTCTTGAACAAGGGGGGGCAGCAGCATGTTAGGTTCTTGAATAATACCACGTTGGTTTGTAGTAGAACATGATCGCTCTCTATTTTGATGAAACATGTATAGCTTGTGCACTGTAATATGCCATGCAATGTGTTATGTTTCTTTCATTGTTGGTATGGCTTGATGTGATTCGTTATTTGCTTACACTGGAATTATAGGCTTCAGTCTCTGCTGTGGTGAGAGTAGGTTGGGTGCCTTGGAAATGTTCGGATAACTTACTTACCTCATATATATTATATATATAATGAAATAGAACTGTGGTTTCCTTCTGAAGCCGCTACTTTTGGAGTTGAACTCAGACCACTCTGAAAACAAGGACAGAGCCAAGGTAACAGTAATTCTATAACGGCAACACACTAAATTCTTGTTGCTTGCTGAAGTATCATGCAATAGGTTAGCAAGTAAGCTCTGCTGGGTGTCGGAGTCGTTACTTTCAGTTTGTTTAAATTAGCTCCAAGTATATTCATGAGTTTTGTAGGAAAGAAAGAATTTTTCTTATGTAGTTTGACCTTTTTTTCTAGGCCTGAACTACCCTACTCATGGAGCAGTTGTTGCTGAGAGAGTTGGATTTGAATGCATCCTTAATTATATCCCACAGGAGCCTTGGTCTGGTCGAAGACATTCGATAACATAGGAAGAATATTGGGTTCGGACTAGTATTTATCATTATCATTCAGCCTCTTGTCTCTATATTTTATTTGTCATATTCGCTTTAACTTCCTGTTTGGATGTTGTGCTATGTGGAAGTTATATCTATACGCTGTATACGGGTGTGTTTGCGTCATATTTTCTTGTCATTACCCCAGTGAAAATACTTGGACATAATTTTCAAGAAGACCATGTATTTGAAGAAGGAAAGAAAAACAGCAGAGGATTGAAGCTAAATATGATTTTTTACTAGAATACATATTGCATTGCCCTGATTCAACATTTCATTGCATCTATGCCGCAGATATTTTACATCTTTGTTTCTCTCAACCTTGTACTTACACCAGGTTCCTAGTCTCGCCGGATGAAAAGTAATAGTAAATACATTTGCTGATCTGAACAGGATGCTAGTTAGTGAATGTTCAACTTACCAGCATTACTCATCTTTGCGCTCCTTCCAACAAAGCAGCATGACCACACAACGGCAAATTATGTACAACCTTGACCTCGCCCCCTTCAAAGCCTTGTTCTTTGCCTGAATTCTGGTTTGCCTTTGTGGGGATGAAGTAGCTTTGTTTCCCTGGGAAGTAGACAGTTCCATGAACTCGAGTCCCCTTTGATCTTTAGACCAGAACAATCTCTTGTGCCCTTCTTTGTCTCTTTTGATGTAGAGTTTCTTACATGGAGGAATCTTTTGAAGAAGTTACTGACTGAAGTTTTTTCAGTTTTCCTTTTCAAGTCGGTAAATAAAGGGCGAAAGTAGCACTAAACTGAGTTACTGGCTCTAGTCAGCCTTAGCTGTTTTTCTGTCCTCTTCCCTGGTTCAACATCCAGATTTTCAGGGCCGTTGTTTCCTGCATCACCCAAAATTAGTGTTCTGTTCCAGGATTTATTCCCTAAAAGACAAAAGGATTACATATCCCTCTGACCTCGGTATATAAGCTTTTAGCTAGCTGAATCACAATTACCTTGGCTGAGGTGGGGAGGTGAATTTACCCTTCGTTTTTCCCCTTCTCCTGACTATTTCAGGACCGGTCTTTCTTCTTCATTTTGACATGGTACAGAGTTTTTCCCCAGCGAAAGTACTTTTCGGTCAGTTACTGTGTAATGTACTTCGTTATTTATTTTTCTACAGAATTTATAGGGTCAAATTCAATTTCCAAAGCACCAACCTATACATTTTGGCTACGCAACCTTGTTTCGTTACAAGTTACTAAGAAAAATGCTTATAAGGGTTCTTGTGCAGCGCTCTCTATCTTTGATTATGAATGTTTGTTTCACTAGTCATGCATAGAACAGAACCTTTCACGTCGTTTTTCTTTCTTTCATATTGTAATCTACAATTATGCAGTTCTTCAAGGAAACACCATATTCTCTTTCCCACCAACCTCCTAGGAACTTAAAATAATACTCGCAGCTATGTAAGAAGTTGGCTTTGATGCGCTAGTGTTGGCAAATACAATTCTTGGAATATAGTAGGAAATAACTAGTGGACTTTACCGATCATATTGATGGGATTTTATAGTATGGTTAAGGATTTATTTGTTTGCTAAAAAATAATTTTTTTAAAATGAATTCAGAAAAAATAAATTATTTTTTACTACTATTTGATAGAAAATAACTAGTGGACTTTGCCGATTATATTGATGGGATTTTATAGTATAATTAAGGCCTGTTTAGTTATGTCATGAAAAAGTAAATGAAATTTAGAAAAAATGAATTATTTTCTGCTATTTAATAGAAAATAACTAGCAAACTCTACCGATCATATTGATGAGATTTTATAGTATGATTAAGGTCTCATTTAGTTATGTCATAAAAAAATAAATGAAAAATAACTTATTAATGTTTTATTTTTCTCAAGTTTATTAAAATAATAAAGAAAAACTCTGGCAAATTAAAAAGTTGAATGAGAATAAAAAAAAAAAACTCCGGCAAATTAAAAAGTTGAATGAGAATAAAATTGAAAAAAAAATTTCATAAATTATCTCAAATAAAATAAATAATAATCAAAATAAAAAAAATCAAATCTAAAAAATAAAAAAAATGAAAGATGAAGAAATTAAAATAATAATAATAATAAACATTTCATAAATTAGTTCAAATAAAATAAGTAACAATCAAAAGAATGAGGATCAAATTTGATAGATAAAAAATTTTAATAAAAAAATGATATGGAAAAAGCAAATAACAATTATAAAAATAAGGACTAAAGTTAATATAAAAATTAAATTTTAAGAGATGAAATTAAAAAATAAATATTAAAAACAAAATATATATAACAATCAAAAGTTTGAGGATCAAATTTGATATAATTAGTAAATAATATAACATTTTTAAATTTTCACAACTTTCAAAAAGTATTTTTCGTCTAAATTTTTTTTAAAAATACTTTTTTAAAAATCAAGTTAAATTTTTCTTTAACTGAAAAATATTTTTTAATAATTAATTTTTTTAAAAATAAATAAATACAAAAAAAATAAAAATAATTTTTTTTTTAAAATGGAATACAGGAAACAAATGTAGGCTAAGGAAAGTTTAGAAACTTGATTTGGTAGTGGTGGCGGTGCCAAAAAAGGCTATGTTGCTGGGAAAGGGAGCTGTTTTTTTCTTTGATATAAATATAAATGTAACCACAACTTCATAATATTTAATATAAATATTAAATATCTCTCTGTTTTTCTCTTTTTTTTTCCTTTTCTCTTCTCGAGAAATTATTGAATGTAATCGCAGTTTCCGGTACATCCGTATCGATGTCCCGTCCAACTCCTTATGTAATTGGTCAAAATAGCCTAAACTCCTTATTTAATTGGTCAAAATAGCCTAAACAAACTGGTCAGAAAGCGATTTTGTGGCATCGCATCATTGGTTAATTAGGTACGTTTGAGAAAAAGCAGCAATCCTGTGATTCACTAAAATTCGTACGGCTTCTGTAGTACACATCCAATAATAAACAAACAGATAAAAGGGCAAACAGAGTTTAATTGGATTACAAGTATTTCACAGGACAGCAGATAGGAACGCGATTCGAGGGTGTTTTCATTTGAAAATAACTTTAAAAAAAAATTGATTTTTTTAAAAAAAATTAATATGTTTTTAATATTTTTAAATTATTTTAATATTTTAATCTTAAAATTAAAGTTTAAAAAATAAAAAATATTATTAATATATTTTTCAAAATAAAAATACTTTAAAAAATAATCATGATTATATTTCCAAACACACTACCATGATAATTGATTTATTTTATAGCAAGTTTGTTGTTATGTATTGTGTTGTGTTTTATAGAATTTTTAAGGTTTTTTATATTTTTAAATTATTCTGTTGAATTGATTTTAAAAATAAATTTTAAAATATAAAAATATATTATTTTAATATATTCTTAAACTAAAAATGATTTAAAATTATATATCCAAATGCCTTGCATAACATGTGCACTACATTATTTTATTTTACAGTTCTGTTTGTTTTCCTCTTATCTGTTTCCCTACGAGGGAAGGAAAGTTGCACCAGCCTTCCATACACTTGTAGATAAACAACCATCAAAGAAAAGACACTTTTTTTGTTTTTCTACAGACAAGATACCAGGTGAGTGATATACGCTTCGTCATGGGTTAGAATCTTTTTAAAACATAAAAAAATGCAAGGGGTTAATAATGTATTTTCCTTTTGCAATTAAAATTTGGTTGCTAAATGCAATTTAATATATATGAAGCAAAGTTTTTTAATTATCAAGATTTTTTTAATTATCAAGATGGTGGTATTCTCTACCCATTCAGAGTAACTCAAGTTATCACAACAAAACCATAAAATAAAAATACGAATACAAAAATTATTAAAATATTTATTTGACTATAATTAAAATGGTATCGTGCATTAAAAAAAATTACTTTATTCAAATTGAATATAATCTAGAAATGAAGATGTTTTGAATT